ATTTACTTTAGTTTCCTGAAACTCAACATACCCCAAACTGGACTTCTAGAGCAACAAAATTCTGACTAGCTCCAGCTGATCTCTTTTGCAGCCCCTCGATTCCGCCGGTTTTGTCAGCCCTTCTCTCTCTAGTGTTGTCTGACGCTCCCTTTCCCTTCCCTTGAGCCTTCCTGTCATGTGCGCATTGATATAGACAGTTATCTTCCCCAGACCACAGCTTGCAGCCAAGCTCTGTGTCCTGGAAACCCCCCAGTCTTTCCATGCCGCATCTCCAATTTTAGTAGCACCCCTCTGACCCCCAGGTTCCTGTGTGAGCTGCCTTTCTTCCCAGAGCTGTACCCAGCTCCCCATACCCATCCTCTACCCTGTGTTTGGACCAATCCCACTGGCTGTATTATTCATTTTGCCTCCATTTGTACCTGTCTGTACAAACTGAGAAGTTTGAATCCATCTACTTTTTATTCCTTCAAAGACACGTGACTCAAGAGCATGTAATTTTGTCCGCACTGCCCCCCTCCCCATTGTTGTATCTTGGAACCAGTAAGGCTATTTTTCATGGTTTATTTGGCCTGTTTGAGTTTATAACTGGTATGGAGGGAACACTGTGTTCAAAATTGTAAAGCTTCTAGAGGGGACAGTTTACAAAAAGTAAATGTCCCTTTCAACTAAATTAACTAAAAATTAGAAAGAAAAGAAACATAGTCTATGCCAATAACCTGTAAATGCTTTACTTTCTCAAGCAGTACCATGTAGCAGATTCTTTGAATGTTTCCTGTTCATCACTGGAATAAACAGTCGGGGAAGCCAGTACATGAGGCTTTGGTTAGTCAGTCGCTGAGACCTCTCCAGGCTACAAAGGTGTACCTAGAAAAGGGGAGCTCAACATGTTTTCTCTGATGGTTGCTTTTTCTCCTCTTCCTCATATTTAAAATGTAAAGCTCGAGTTGATTAAACTTTCTATGCCCAGAAAGTCCCCAGTCAGCTCACCATAACTTCGCCTGGAGGCAGAGGATCCAGCCTGGTTGGGGCTGGCCTGTGTGTGCACCTGCTTCCCTCTCCAGCTGGGCTGTTTGCTGTTTGGCTCTGCAGTTTTGCCCCACAGTAGATAAGAGTCTCTCCTTATCCCCAGACCCCGTCCTCCCGTTAATATTCCCACTACCTGGTGTATTTATCTTCATCCTACGATTGAAGACATTTCCCCTAGGAATTCTAGCTCTGAAATATTTAAAATGTTGACTTCAAAGTCAACGGAACTGTGCCAAGCACACTTTTGAAGATAAAGGAGGAAGCTTTTGACAAAGGACAAAGTCAAGGCCCATTAACTCACAGGATGCAGGGTGTCTCAGGGAGGTCGGGCTTATGCTCTGCTGAGGAGAGAAGAAAGCTTTACATTGAAACAAAAACAAATGACTTTAATGTTATAGGTGATTTTTCTCAGGGGACGGTGCTCCCTGGCTTAGGGTGGGTCTTCCTGTCCGACACCTTTTGATGCTGAGAGGGTCATGGTGTCTCTGGCTCCAGGCCACTCCTGGACCGCATGTAGTTTGGCTTACAAAATCGTGGTGGACATTTGAAGATTCTGAGAAGAACGTGGAGGTGTGCGAGGGTGTGCCTGCAGTCACACTGTTGGTCATGGGAAGCTGGACCCAGGACCATGGCTCCCTCAGACCCTGACTCTGAGACTTTGAGCTTTGTTTCTAGAAAACCTTAGGTCATACCCGTAAAATCAAAGTTTATATGCTTACTGGTATTGGTCTGACTTTCATGTTCACTACCCTGCAAATTGGAGATTATGTGCCTATCCAATATTTCCAGGATGCCAGACTTCAGTAAGTTTTATATCATAGGAATATTAAGTATGCATGGATTTTAGTTATTTTTTTTTCAAATAGCTGGAGAGATGGAGAGATGGCTGTTTGTAGGACCTGAGTTTGGTCTTTAGAACCCATGTTAAAAAAACAGGCATGTTGGTGTACACATGTCATCTCTGAACTAAGGAGGCAGAGATAGGCAGATTCTCGGGGCTGACTAGCCAGCCTGGCCTAGCCTACTGGGCAGGCTCTGGACCAGAAACTCTTACCTGAAGCAAATAGCAAAAGTGGGGAAAAAAGCAGTACCGTCGTGTGTGCACGCGTGTGCTTGCTTGTGTGTTTGTGACTATTTCTATATCTTACACAAGTAGCCTTTGGCTGGAATCATATTTAGTTCAAAGCTGGATATGCCTCCAACTGATCCCTGGACATGGATGTCCTTAGCTTTCCTAAAGGGTACACCTAAGGCTTACATCCCACAAGCAGTGCAGGACTTATATGCAGCATAGTGGCTCATCACATACCCCTCACCTCACTTCAGTGAGCATGAATGAATAGCTCAGGCAAACGATGCTGCAGTGGACTAGAGGCTTTAGGAAAGTGTGAGAAGGAGGTAGAACTGGGAAGAAGAGTCTGTAGGGCCCAGCGGTTGGCAGTGATGAATGCTGTCGAGGGTTTGCAGGCAAAGGGTGTTTATGATCAGTGAGAGATTGAGCTTTCCTGGCAGTCAGGCTGCTTAGAGAGTAAAGGGTGGAATAGTTATCTGGGCCAGGTGGTGGTTCCTTTGGGTATGTGGGCTTGGAGGTAGGGATTTGCCGAAGGGTGTGGTTAGGAGGTAACATGGTAAAAGGTCATTTGCTCGGCCTTGTTTCCAGACAGGTATATTATGTGGTGAGAGTGAGAGATGAATTAGAATGAGGATCGTGGCGGTTCATGGAGATAGAGCTGGGAGCAAGGCAGGTCTGATGTGGGCATTTGTCAGATCAGGTGATACCCAAGTTCCGCCCTGAGCAGAGGGCAGAGTCCTGGCAGGCTAGCAGGGTATATGTCATTAACATGAGTCAGTGAGACAGGGGACTTGAGACCGGCTGGGATCCAGAAACCAGGACACCTGCTTCCCATAATCATGGGATGATTCACAGAATAGGCAGATTAGAAGTGCAGTTTAAGTTCCATGAGGAAGGATGTAGAGGCAGTGCCAGTAAGATCTCCAGAATACTCGGGAAACTGACCCCAGATTCTTGCAACGGATCTCAGAGGATCATCAGCTGGCAGATGTCCAGCCTAGTGACCAACAGAGGCACACCGTCACAGGACATAGACCATTGCCACTCTGCACGCTGTGCAAGTGACACAGCCTTCCCGGATGAAACCCTTCCCTGTCCCATCATCACCACTGTCCTCTTGTGTAGGAATTGAAATCCCTGTTTTTCAGTATTGCATCAGGTGAACAGTAAGCAATAGCTTTTCCTTTTGGTGGCTTTACACACTTTGCGCATGGTATCGCTAGTGTTACCGGCTAGTGTCAGAGTGCCAGATTGTTTTCCGGAGGTTTTTGTAGCAATTTATACTCTTTCAGTAAGGTAACACTTCTGAGGTTCAGTCTTGTCATCTGTATTACTGTTCTCCTCCGGCACAAAAGGAACAAAGCAGCCTGAGGAAGGATGGGGTTTCTAATGACTTGCAGTGTGAGTAGTGGGGGGGTAAAGGCGGGACAGTGAGAACATGAGGTGCCTGGTCACACTGGGTCTGTGGTCAGGGAGGAGCAGAGAGAGATGGGTGCTGGTACTCGGCTCCCTTTCCCCTCCAACTGTGTTCCTCCAAGACTCAACCCATGGGCTGGCACCGTCTTCAGCGAGAGCCTCTGGAGGACTTACACATGTATAGGGCTGGAGCTTCCTAGGGGACTCAGCCACAGCCAAGATGACAGGAGGATTAAACAGCACATTCCACCTTGAAGCTGTCTCATTTTCCCCAGTCTCCTGGATATAAAGTAGCTACTCACTGCTTTAATATGTCTTGTCGTGTGATAACAAAACTAAGTAATGTGTTCTGTTTGTATTAGGTGTCCGCCCTTCCTCTGCCCCACCCCTCCCCCACTCATTTGTCTGTCTTTTTGTCCTTTCTAGCTAGGTGCTCTTAGTATTATACTCTTGATAGCTCTCTCTCTCTCTCTCTCTCTCTCTGTATGTCTGTGTGTGTGTGTGTGTACACATGTACCATGTTGCACATACATGAGGCAGAGGACAGTGTAGGAATAGTTTCCCTCCTTCCATTATGTGGGTCCTAGGGATAAGACCTCAAGTCCTCGGCTTTGGCCATAAGTGTTTTTACCCACTGAGCCATCTCTGTCTCTCACCGTCCATCTCTTTATTGTAGGCTGGTAAGAGGGTGCCTTTTTCTGTCTGCCTTCTGGTTTGTTCTACCCTCATAGGAAGGAGGATGTAGCTTTCTGTAACACCTTCATCTGACACCACTTCCCAACAACATGGAGGGAGGGGAGGAAGGAAAGAACACTTCTTCTTTCAAAGCCACACCTCATGGGTGTTCATTAACATCTGCCTTTGGCTGGAACTGCAAGGGAGGCTGGGAAGTGTAGTCAGTGTTCCCCACGGGCATTACACACCTGGAACCCTACAGAAGCAGTCAGGAGACCACTGCTGAGACAAAAGCTGGGGAGCATTTAGCCCTGAGAAGAGGCTGAAAAAGATGTGATTGCTTTCAAATTAATTCTGTCTTGTGAACTGTTCTGTGGTAAGTTCCAATGTCTGTCATACTTTTAAACCTTTACAGGAAGAGTTCTTCATATTAGTTTGCCAGACCTTGTTTTTATTTTTACTTCAGAAACGTGATTATAAAAGAAAATCTTTAATAGGAAGAACAGGAAATGTCCAGACTGAGTAAAGCCTTACCTGAAGCCTACTGTGAATTTGTTTAGAACCTCAGTCAGGAGCGAAGTCGCGTTTGCTGTTTTTACAAATGTATAAGCAAAGTCTTAGTCATTTAGTCCTGAAATAGGCCTCTGTTGTTTGTTTTTATAAAATTCACGTTCATTTACGTTAAAATGTAGAGGTTAGATGACGGTTTTAAGCTAATGTATGTGGGAGTTTTTGTGGGCTTACGATATTGTTGTCACCATCCCTGCCCCCCACCCATTATCTGATGATTTGTAACCTCTGCTCTCCACAGATATGGCGTGAGTCCCGAGAACATTATCCTCTATGGGCAGAGCATTGGGACTGTCCCTACCGTGGACCTGGCCTCGCGTTATGAGTGTGCAGCTGTCATCCTCCACTCTCCGCTGATGTCTGGTCTGCGTGTCGCTTTTCCGGATACCAGAAAAACATACTGTTTTGATGCTTTCCCCAGGTAAGCTCACAGCTGGGTCAGTGAAAAGTCAGCCCATGCTCAGAGCCCACATCTGTGCACTTTCTAATATTGATTGAGCATCCCCCCAGGTCAGACCCACCGGGCACCACCAGGGATGAGGCAAACGTAGCATATTGAGACTTCAGTCTCCAGATGATGGATAAGGACCTAGAGCATGTCCTAAAGGAACTTCCAGTTCAGTGTTGATTTGTTCAGAGGGACCTGTATTGCTCAATTATTGAAGAGCTACACACAAGAGCTATAAATTAGCAATTAGCCCTGGTCTAGACATTGAAATAAAAAATAGGCACATGTATGAAATTTCTCTGTTTTCCAGTCAGAGGATGCGGATGAGGAGAAAGATCCATGCTCAGGTAGTCTCTGTGAGAAGAATAGAAAGGTGTTCCTGAGATAACGGAGAAAAACAGCCTCCTTGTCCTGATCTTACACTTGCATCCTGTCCCTGCAGGCACACTCTGTCCGAGAGAGGCATGAGACTCATCCTGGCCAGCCAAGGCCCCTCCTGCTAGCTGACCTGACCCCTGCTGGTCTCTAGTTCCCCTTAATGGAAGGGAGAACCTCTGTAAATATAAACTGTGACTAAAGTGCTTTCGTTGCAAGTTCCTTCTTGGCTATTTGTTTTGTTTTCTGTTATTTAAGTGATAATGTGAGATGTATTTTTAGAGTATTTGCCCCCTAGCTTTTTCCCACAGTCCATTGCAAAGCTAGCCAGCTTGTCTTACCCTTTCCAGGAAAAGCATCAGCAGGAGTAATGCATAGTCTCAAGACTTCGGTTGACCTATTAATTGCCAGCGTTCTGTTCTTGCTGGAGAAGAAAACACAGCATTAGGTCGCATAAGGTTGTGTTCCACTGTCTCATTTCACAGGAAGAAACCTCTGTTAGCACCTTGGCTGACCCTCAGCTCTGTAGCTTGTACCAGGTTTCACTGAAAACCCGCTTCCTGGGAATGGGACACTGTGCATTTCTGGTGGTGTGACTGCGAATGCTAAGTAGGGTTGATGTGCCTCGTAAATGTGGCCTTATTTGTGCTGAATTGGTAATGAGAGGCAGTTTGTTTAAAGACTGATATTTTGCATGTTTGTGGAAAACAATTCCAGGAGTTACCCTGGCAACAAAATGATGAGTTTAGCCTATACCTTAAAATGTAGCAATTGGAACTAATTATATGTTATTAATTAATAACAAACCAGCAACAAATGCTATTTGCCACATCCACCAGGCTTGTGGTTGAACCCAAAGTTGGCTTTCCCAGCAACTTTAAGAAGTTGATCTGGTTACTGTATTCTTTACAGATCAGGCCAACAGCAGTGATATCACTGGTTTCGTAAGGTTAGAGACAAAGAGGCCCCTACTCCTACTCAGCGCCCTAAATTATTGATGGAATATATTTCAAGCCATTAATGGCTGCTCTGGCTTTCATCATTAATTGGATTTGGCAAACATTTTTTTTTTAATATAGTATCCTTTGCTACCAAATGACAGAATGTTTTCTTTCTGAAAGGGAAGACACTTTCACAGTCCCTTCCAGTGTCAGAAAGAGAGAGGATGGTTCCTGTTTATACTTCAGTGTTGGTTGTTCTCTGTCGGGGCTTTCAACTTCAGATGCCCTCTGCAGTCAGGGGTTTATGGGAATAGACAGCAGCATGGACATAGTCTTAGGCCTGCCGTAACTGATGAGTAAATAGCTTTTTTAATTGAGTATAATTGAAAGCTTATAGAGGAAGGCACTTTCACATTCAGTCCAGGGGAGGAGTAGGTTTCAGGTAAGATTCTTGCTCTGTAGAACTGCACATGGCCACAGAGGCCCTGATCTTCGCAGACCCCGTGGCTGCTGAGGTGTTTCTGTCTTTCTGTGGTGCCTTCAAGCAGTTGGCAGCTTCTTGGGTTGTTCATAAAGACTGTGACAGTCACTTGTAGACCTTTGGAATGTATAACTGATGGAAGCCCTCTGTATTATCTCCTTGGCCTGGTGCCTGTTACTGTATAATCTCTCTGAGCTTCAGTTCCCTCCCTGATCAACAGAAGGCAATTCCTCATGGGTCCTGTGTCCTAAGGATTAAATGACGGACTGTAGAGTGTTCAGCTGTGATGAACGGTAGCTGTTACTTTATCAGCGAGACTCCCACAGATAGACCTGTTTGTGTCTTTTTACAAGTCTGACCAGGATCAACTGCAGAAAGGAGTCAGCAGTAAGCAGGTTTTGGGCCGAAGGACAGATGGAAAGATATGTTTATTCATGGCTTAATCGACCATCCCTCGCCAGAGCAGTCGCCCGGGCACTCAGCCGGACAGATGCTGATGGTCCCGTCGGCTCCTCCCTGGGATGATTTTTCAGATCCTTGAGAATTCATCCTGTAAGAGTGGATTTGGTTTTTATTAACAGAAGACGGTTGGAGTAAAATCTAAACACCAAGTTAAGCTTTTGAGCTAAGTGGTGCTGTTTTTATCAAAAAGTTAGTCTCCTGTTTTTATGAAATGGGGCTTCTTCAGAAAAAAATTTTAAGATTATATGTATGAGTAATTTGCCTTCATGTATATGTACCATATGTGTGCCTAGTACCCGAAGAAGCCAGAAGAGGGCATCAGATCCCCTGGAACGAGTTGGGTGGGTGTGAGCCACCTTACAGATTCTGGAAGTTGAGTCTGTATCCACTGTAAGAGCATCAAGTGCTCTAAACCACTGACCCATCTCTCCAGCCCAGAATTGCTTCTTTGTTTGTTCAAGACAGGGTCTCACTATGTAACTCTGACTGTCCTGAACTCAATTATGTAGACCAGGCTTGAGCTCACAGCGCTCCCCCTGCCTCTGCCTCCTGAGTGCTGGGATTAAAGGCATGCACCACCATTGCCCAGCCTGGATTTGCTTCTTCGAGAAGAGTTGTGAGTGTTGGAGGGCGTCCAGTCCCACTTTGCAGAGATAGATGTTCATTCAGACATATCAAATGCTCGCCTATTTACATTTTAAAGTCTTCTCAAAATATGAATATCTAAAGAAAAATTAGGTACTAGTCTGTTTGATAAAACTACTTTTTAAAAAAGTAGTAAATGTAGTATAGTAGTCTTGACAGGATGTTGGAATAGAAAAGTGACTTTTGTGGGAAAATTAAGTGGGATCCAAATAAAGGCAGGAGATGTTAGCTATGTGTATGTACCAAAGTTGGTTTTTTGATTTTGACAAATACTGCATGGTAATGGCTGCTGTTAGCTCAATAGAAAATGAGTTAGGAATTATGGGAAACTGTAATATCTTCCTTTCCTATAAATCCTCAATGATTCCAAATTAAAATAATGTTAAAGAAAAAATATTACTAGAATAGCAGTGGGAAATGAAAACTGAGAAATTATAGTATGTTGATGTGAGTTCATCACCTGTGCCTGGGCACTACTGACCAGGCTCTGTATTGTCCAGCTGTGACGCTGACCCTCTCATCAGGGCAGCACTTCTGTGAACATGACTAAAGGTCCTTGTCTCCCCTCCCTTTGTGTCTTGCAGCATTGACAAGATATCTAAAGTCACCTCTCCTGTATTGGTTATCCACGGTACTGAGGATGAGGTCATCGATTTCTCCCATGGCTTGGCGATGTATGAGCGCTGTCCTCGTGCTGTGGAGCCCTTGTGGGTTGAGGGGGCTGGGCACAATGACATAGAGCTCTATGCACAGTACCTAGAACGTCTAAAACAGTTCATATCTCACGAGCTTCCCAACTCCTGAAGATGACGGCCGACCTTACCTCATTACTGTGAAGCGAGGATCCTTGTTTGCACACACTTTGACTGGATATAACAGTGATGCCCAATAACCACAGAGAAGGGCCCAGCCCTTGGGGTGTTCTCCTTAAAGAGCTAACAAAGTCTGTCTTTTGTACCTAATCTCCACCTTCCATTAGGCTGAGCAGCTGGGGGTCTCAGCTGCGTGACCTTGCAGGAGTGGGAACAAGAGCTGACTGTGGGGCCTGTTTCCCAGCGTCCGTAGACTAAAGTGTGATCAAGTCTGTCTCCCTCGCTGTCACCTCTGATTCCCCAACCGGTGCAGGATCACCCTCTCACCCAGGTGCCAGTGTTTGACTGCAGCACTCTCCGCTCTGGTGCCGTGGGTGAGACCCGTTTGTGAAGCTATGGTAGTGTAACTGGAAACCTGTTGTGAGACATCCTCCATTAGCTGTGTTAACACGCCAGTCCTTCCCACACCCATGAACTATCGCCAACAGCTTCATCAGCTATAACCATATAAATACAACTGGAATATTCTTAAACAACAGGAAACTGGGGTTTTTTAAGTGTAAATTTATTACTAGCCAAGAGTTTTAATATTTTGACTGTCTGGTTGGTCTAATAAAGCCTGGCTGACTCTCCTTCTGTAAAGTCCTTCTTGTCGGCTTTTTTAAAGTCCTGTACATATTTGCAATGACATTGTGCACAGATTCCTAATGGGTATTTCCTTTAGTCAGGCTTCAACAGACTGCAGATTCCTTGTTTGTATTGTAAATGATTGAATACATTTTGTTAATATGTTTTTATTCCTATGTTTTGCTATTAAAATTTTTATAACATTTCCAAGACAAAAATTCCAAGTTTCTGCTTTGAAGAATTTAGGTAATTAAAATTTCCCTAAGCTGATTTCTTAGTTTAGGAGTTATTGGGTTTTGACACTGGAGTCGTGCCAGGTGAACATCAGAAATGAGATGCTTAAAATTGCTACACTACTTGTATTGGTTGGGGGATTGGGTTTGGGGTTGTTTGGTCTTATTTTAGTTCTTTTCCTTTTTCAAATTTAAAAGCCTTAAATGTACTGTAAGCCTCAGATCGTTGTACAACTGGATTGCGTTGGTTGCCAGTTTGTGTGCTGTTGCCTGAATGTGGCACGGTGGTTGGTAATGGAATAAAGGACGCATGGATCAGAACACGTGGACTTGTGTGCTTCTTTCTTCATCTCACATTGAAGGAAATAGATCGCATCAGTCATCTCAAGAGGGGATCCTTGGGGCATCGCTGTAGGAAAGATGCCTGAGATACTTCCATAGGCCGAAACACAAAGCAGCAGTAAACAGAAGGTCCCTAAGTGGGACATGCAGTGGGCACTACCTATAAATGCACAAAACTAAGAGAAGTCTCCTCACCACATAGCTGACAGAGACAAAATGCCTGTTTCTCTGGGAAGGCATCTGGGGATGCGGTGAGGTCTCTTCAGCCTTGAGAGCACCAGAGGAAGGATGCCAGCTCCTAGAGCAGCCCTTCCTGGTCATGTTTGAGAGGATGTGGTGGCTTCCTGACACGGCACATGGCTCTAGTACCAGCTCTTGGGGAAGGTGAAGAATATGGGTGTGTGTGCTTGAGCAGACTGTGTTCTGATCTTAAATCACTGCTGGCTAATGTGGGAGCCTTGGGAAGGGCTGTTCCCCTGCGAGTGCATTAACAAGGCTTCCAGGGTATACCCAGAAGTCCAGAGCACCAGATGGGGAGAAACTCCCCAGAGGCCTGTTGAGGGGAAGTTAACCTAGAGTTCTAAACACCTGACTTCTCATCCTGTTTGTTGGGAGTGCTTGCATCTTTGTTTACTTCCTCGTTTTTTGTTTTGTTTTTTTTTTTACCTCCTAAACAATTGAGTGAGATTACTTTCAACAGTTGTTATTAATAATAGGAAACTGTACAATAGAAACTGAGAGGCCCATTCCTTCATTGCTGCTTCATAGTCATTCAAAGCAACTTTGCTTTTTCCGAGCCAAGGGTCATGATGTAGAAGAAGCATGGCTGGTGAAGTAGTGGAATCCCACAGGGATCTGAATCCTGACTGCAGGTTCCTGCCTGAGATGTGCTCACCTGTCCTATGATGGATGCCCACCAGGTTTGCTCTGGATACAGAAGCTTCTCTCTGGGATGTAACACGAGGGCCGGCTTGTTGGGGTTTCTGTCCAGCCCAGTACCCCAACAGCCGGCAAGCAACAAAGGAAATCACACACAGGACTCCATAAGGTTATAAACTGATTGGCTCATTAGGTCAGGCTTCTTGTTAACTCTTATATTAACCCATTATTCTCATCTATGTTAGCCATAATGGCTCAGTACCTTTTCCAGCAGGGGCAGCTTACATGTTGCTTCTTCAGTGATCTGCGCAGGAATGGCTGAGAGAGAGCTTCTGCTTCCACAATACTCCCAGTCTCTTTGCTCCACCCCTACTTCCTGTCTGGCTTTCCCGCCTATACTGCCTGCCTGGCCAATCAGCGTTTTATTAAAATATGATTGACAAAATACAGACAATTCTCCCGCACCATTGGGAGACTTAAATTGCCTTCCTGTCTAGGAAACAAAAGAAATCAAGGGTGTAGGCAAAAGCCCTTCATAGACTGGAGGTTGAGTGGGTTATTTCTAATATGTGAATTGGTGCTTTCTATTTATGAAAACTCAAATAGTAAGAGACAGAAATCACACTCAGGATAAGGTACTGTGATCACGTTCTTTTGTTCTGATGGTTGTTATCCCTGAAATCAAGAAGTCACTTACTTTTCTATTGCTGTGAAGACACCAGAAGGAGCAAGGGAAACTTAGAAAAGCATTCATTGGGAGCTTACAGTTTGAGAGGGTAAGTCCATGAGCATCATAGTGGGGAGCAGGGCAGCAGGCAGACATGGTATTGTGGCTGCGGCTGAGAGCTTACATCTGATCAGCAACCAGGAAGCAAAGAGAGGGAGCTAACTGAGCCTGCTGTGGGCCTCTGAAACCTCAAATCCAGTGACACATCCTCCAAGGCTCTCTCCTAATCCTTCCCAAATAGTTCTACCAACTGGGGTCCAAGTATTCAAACACTCAGACCACTGAGCCTGTGGGCACCGTCACCATCCAAATCACCGGCTGGTGAAAAAGATTTGGATGGATGGGGTTTTTTTTTGTCACATTCTTTGTAAACGTGGAGAATTGGGTGGTTATTGTCTCAGAAAAAGTATCCTCTCAAAACCATGCTCAGTACAGATTGTGAGAACCGTTTGAAGCTTGGAAGGGCCAGTGAATTGTCAAGATAACTCCTTTCGGGTACAGCTCCCCGACTCCTGGGAGTTCGATGGGGAATGCCGGGTCCACAGACTTGAGAGCCATCAGGAAAGGAACCACAGATGTGTACTGTGGCTGAAAGTGAAGCCAGGCGTCAGGTTCCAGTTGGAAGCCATGCATGCCTTCCCGCTAACGTTCCCCTTGGTCTAGGCTACTGGCAACTGTTTCTGAGAACCAAGTCTCAGAGATGGACCCTGGAACAGCTTTTCTAGTCTGTAACAGGATGCAAAGCCTCACAGCAGAGATACTCAGTCGAGACACAGCTTCCTGAAGACAATGGTCTGATGACATTGGAAGAACGGGTAAAAGTGTAAAACTGTCTCCAAAAACATGCAAGGCTCAGGCAAGTATACAGATAAAGTCTTTGATACTATTAAGAGGAACAGTGAATTCCATCATTAAAGGTACACTCATGCAGATACACCCTGATACATACATACATAGGCAAGTAGCACGCACACGAGTAGCAAATATGTGGAGTGAAACATTAGCTGTTCTATCACGGTAGCAGCATGAATGATCAAGCTGGGCTTATTCTGATTACACAAACAAAATGCACAGACATTAATAGGTAATCTCAGTAATTAAAAACCAAACCCTGCAGTAATGGTTTTGTTTGGTTTCCGTGCTGGGGATCCAGCACAGGGCCTTGAGCTTTCTAGGCAAATGCTCTATCCCTGGCCTACAGCAATAATGACGTGACGTTCACTTCTGACTTGAAATTCTAGTAAAATCAGTACAGAAGGATAATCCCCCCCACACACTTTTTTTTGATAGCTCCCACCCTGCAGCCCAGGCTAGTCTTTAATCAGTTCCTCCTCCCTCCACCCCCTGGGTCTCAGCTGGGATTACAGATGTGTCATCACGCCTGCTAAGCTGGCTTTTTAATTCATTAAAAAAAAATTAACATTGATTATAGTCAAGTTCTTTGCTCTGTAGTCAAGGATTAGTGTTGCTATCCACAGTATTGTATGATGCCAAGAATTCTAACCACGTGATAAGCCAGGGTGATAAGTTGCACAAAGATGTAAGATTCAAAGACTGAGTTAGGGTTTCTGTTACTGTGGGAAAACTCCTTGGAGAAAAGTGACTTGGGGTGGGTGGGGTTTATCAATTTTGGGTGATACTAATTTTTGAGGAGAACCAAGTCAGGAACCTGGGAGTGCTGCTCACTGGCTTGCTTTCCATGGCTTGCACAACCTGCTTTCTTACAGAGCCCAGGATCACCAGGAATGGCCCCACCCATAGTGGGCTGGGCTCTCTCGCATTATCCAGTAATCAATCTTACAGACGCTTCCCGTTCACGTCTGGATTTGTGTCAAGTTGACAAGAACCAATCAGCATAGGAGACAAATAAAAATGAACAAAAAAAAATCAGTTGCCACCAAATTTAACAATATAGTGAGAAAATATACCTGAGATTTTGTTTTAAGAAACCAAGTCACACCACATGCATAAAAAAAAGTAAAAAACAATAATATTTGAGGATTGTATAAAGGTCATGGAGGGGTTGAGAAGCCTGGATCTGCTCTGTAGGTTTGTCAGGGCTCTGTGTATAGGAAAGAAAGACTATCTGGAGGTAGAAGTTGAGTGAAGAAGGAAGGCCCAGTGAACATTGGACAGTGGGAAGTTCTGCGTGCAGCAGCCTGGCTTAGAATTCTTACACCTTGGTGAGCCTGTAACCCTAAACGAATCCCTTCCATCTCTCTGAAGTGATAATAATATCAGCCACAGTCAGGAAAGGATGGAGTGACATTCTGCAAGTAGAAATGCCCAGGGGGAAGAAATGGATGTGTGTACCCACATAAAGTAGAGGTTCAGAGCCTGGGTTAGGACATAACAAAACAAGAAACACTAAAAACTGCACACTGAATTCATTCATCTCTACCCGATCATTGCTCTGCTGCCGAAGGGCTTCCCATCTGCCTGGTTCCAGCTTGTTCACACCTGACCTTATCTGGTGCTGTCTGAATGTATTTGGGGGTGGCCCCAGCTTTCAGACCTATATAGACAGTCAACTGCCTGAATCTCTCTCTGTCTAGGTAGTTGACTTAGCACTTCCCCAAGATGGGCCTGGTCCAGGCTGGACCTGGCTGTATATAGTCCATCCTTGGCTCACATGCTATTTAAGATATACTGACTTTGAGCCTTTGGCTCACCTAATTTTTGTCTTTTCTTAAAAAAAAAAAAATATGGGCTGTAGAGATGTCTCAGTGGTTAAGAGCACTTACATCCATATTCGTACTATTGAATTAAGAAATAAATATTGCCAAGACCTTAGAAAACTATTTTGTTAGACCTCACTTTCTCCTAGTCAAAGACTCTCTTCCCCACGTTCCAGAGCGAACACCAAACTGAATACCCCTTTGTGTGTGTTCACGATTCTTCCCCCACGTTCCAGAGCGAACGCAGTCCTGAATACCCCTTTCCACTTGCTCCCGTTCCTGTGTAGTCAGAACATGGGCAACACATGGGAAATAGCGTGACAAATTCAAGAGATGATTGAAAACAAGGCAGTTTTTTAACATGACATTCTGCAATAGGGTGTCCTGTCGGCGAAGAGGATTTGCCACAAGGCGCTGGTGTTTGAAGTCTCCTGGGTTGGAAGAAACTGTCCTCTTCCCTGGGAGGCTGGGACTTGCCCCCTCTTCCCCAAGTCGCCTATCTCATTGGTTAGGACCCAAATCCTTGTTGAATGAATAATTTGGAATTTGAGCCTACACCCTTTTTCTCATTGTGGACCCGGTCACATTACAGACAACCTGTAATTCTCAGCTCTCAGAGTTCTGAGATAAAACTGGCACCAGCTGCCACCAGAGATGAGGGCGCAGTGCCTCCTATTCCTCTGTAACCCCATGAG